CAGGCACCCCCTTTCTCTCTCTCGGCCCCTCCGCCGACTATTGTTGCAGTTTCGCGTCTCTAACCCGGTTCTCGCACACCCCCGAGCGCCGAGAGGAGGGGGAGCGCGGCTGCGGGAAGAAATAAAGCGAGAGCTCCGATCCGATGAGAGGGGGGGGAAAAAAACCAGCAAGGAAAGAGAGACACTTAAAGGGAAAGAGTCGCCATGTTTAGCAGCTTTTTTTTTTTTAAAGATCTCGTCAATTTCACACAGAAACGCACTCGCTGGGTCCCAGCCCTCGCCTTTTGTCCAGTTCAGTCTCAGCAAAGATCTTTTGTTCTAACTCAGCGTGAAAAGAAAAACTTTCTTTAAATGCGATAAACTTAAACCGAGCTCAAGACTCTAAACAGACCCTCCTCCGGGCCACTCTAAACATATACAAGAGGTTTTGTCTTAACCTCTGAAAAATTCTGGGTCCTGTTTGCCTGCCTCGCACACCCCCTCCGTCTGATGGCTGAAACTTGGAGAGAGACACACACAGATCCCCCAGCGTCTAGGACACATGCTCACAGCAGAATAAAACAGGGACTGCCTTTTGCTTTGAGAATCATAAATTATAATTTAATGCCAATAATAATTTACAACAAATGGCTGTTTACAATAAACTAACACCAAGCAAAATACAGGAAAGGGCCTGCGTGTCACTTAGCGGAGGAAACTTTCACACACGCACATGGGTAGCACTTGCAAAGGGGACGAAAGTAAAAGCCAGCCTAGGAGACCTCGATCGGAGAGGTCAGGGGTGTTCAGCCCTGAGGACACACTTGCATTTATGTGCATAAGTGTCTCCAGGAGGGAGCTAGGCCCTGGGCCGGATGGATGGATGGATGGACAACCCCGCTCTAATGCACACAGCAGACGGGCACTTCTGGTCTCCCTGCACTCGCTGGCACGGAGAATCCAAGTCTAATACACTTTATGAAATGACCCCACACTTCCTCCTTCCCTCCCCACCCCAATTTTTTAAATTAAACCACAACATAGGGAAATACGGGGGCGGGGTGCAGGAGAGCCTCAGTCAGAGCAAAACTGCAAGTTCCCAGGAACTTAGCTTTCTCCAGCCCAGGAAAGGAGGGGAGGGGGGCGGGGGACAGACTCCACAACAAAATAGTGGCTGCTTCCAAGTCAGCACCGCCTGTCAGGTTCCCTTCCTTCTGTCTCCCTCCCTCTCTCTCCTTTTTGTCTTAATTTGGCTCCTTAAGGACAAAGGATCCCCAGAGCAGTCCAGGTTGTATATCTACACAATCTGCAATGTCAAAAATGTTGATGTGTTTTTTGGTTTTTTTTTTTTTTTTTTTTTTTACATA